AACGAGCGGAGCCAGAGGAGATTGTGGTCCTCTCGTATGCTTGGCGTTGGAGCGTTTGACGACGGGAAGCATCAAGTATCTACCTCCCACCGATAGAGATAAAGCTGCAGTAGGCTTGTGGTTTCGGCATTATATGGCTAAATCGATATATACGAGACGCTGCCTACCTGCATCCGCGTTATAAAAATGTCCATAAACAATTGGTAAGTTTATATACTTATAAATGAAAATGTTTGGTTAAGTAATTAGAATTCAATAATTTGCGTAGAAAGTGTTGTTTGAACAAATGTTTGGTTTCTGCAGGTTAATCTCAGAAGTGAACTGCGTGAAATGATGTCGAGCTGCAAAAGTTGATTCAATAGTTTAATTGATTGTTTTTTGATTGTTTAATTGATTTGTAAAAGTTGATTCAATTTTTGATTGTTTAATTGATTTGTAAAAGATGATTTGTAAAAGTTGATTTGTGTAATTGATGCGAACATAATTCTTATTTGTGCTTGTTTAATTGATTGAAATGTAATGGTTGATTTTGTTGATTTCAATCTGCATTATGTTGAAGGCAAAAATGACTATCGCAATGCGAAATGAAAATCGCAATGCGAAATGAAAATCGCAACGAGAGAATCGCAATGCGAAATGAAAATCGCAATGCGGAAATGAAAATCGCAATGCGTTTATAATTTCGCATTGCGATTATCTCGTTGCGATTTTCATTTCGCATTGCGATTTTCATTTCGCATTGCGATTCTTTCGTTGCGATTTTCATTTCGCATTGCGATTTTCATTTCGCATTGCGATTTTCATTTCGTATTGCAATTTTAATTTCGCATTGCGATTATGTCGGTTCGATTTTCATTTCGCATTGCGATTTTCATTTCGCATTGCGATTCTCTCGTTGCGATTTTCATTTCGCATTGCGATTTTCATTTCGCATTGCGATTCTCTCGTTGCGATTTTCATTTCCGCATTGCGATTTTCATGTTGGGATTTTCATTTCGCGTTGCGATTGTATTTTCCGTGTTGCGATAGTCAAATGCATGCTAATAGTGATAACAACTGAATAACAAGAGTTGGTTAAGTCAAAATGGTTGGCCTGAGTCATTAATTCAACTGAAAATGTTAAAAGTTCACACATAAAATCCACATAATACAACGTTTGCATATGAGCTTTTGATGGCAACGTTTACATAATACACATAAAATGTTAAATGTTAAAACGTTTACATAATACAACTGAATAACAACGTTTACATAATACAAAGTTCACACCATATGAGCTTTGGATTTTGATGAGGATCCATATTTTGGTAGAGGAAAAGATGATTTTGATGGCACTGGTGATCCACATGTCAACCTTGTATGACCACTTTCCTTGCACCGACTACATGTCGATCTCTTCTTCTCTTCACCCTTAGACGGTATACGATCGTGACTTTTTGGTCGGCCAGGTAGCCTTCTGTCCATGGCTGGTGGCAAAACTGTTTGTAAGTCATCTGGTATGTCCCACTCAGAAGGATGTGGAATAGGGTAGACAATCTCGGCATAAGTCTGTCGATAAACTTCTGTAGTGTAGCAATCCATAGCGTATGCGCTTGAATCATCTTGGTTTAAATGAAGAGCAACTTTTAACATGGCCACACGGATAACCAGATGTTTGCCATTTCATACAACTACGTCTTTGCATTTAGATCGACTAGCCCATTTAAGTTATTATCCAGTACTTGAAACAAAGTGTTTGAACATGGTTCAACTCTCCATGACGTTGACTTCACAACACGTTTCGTTATCTTTTTTTCAGTCCATGGTGTAACACGATGTTCCAATGTTCCTGTAAATTTAAATAAACAATACTTAGTAAAATATATAATATGATAAGTTACGAATTCAAAGAAATAATACCTGCATGGTTTCTTTTCTTGTAGTACCACTGTTGAATAGAGGCTCGAAAAAACTCCATTAACATAGTAATGGGTAATTTCCGGGAATGACGACTTAGAGCGTTGATTGATTCTGCACTATTAGACGTCATGAAACCATATCTTGCTCCAAGTTGATGTACTCTTGACCATCTTTCAAACCCGACATCTTCTAGTGTTTGAGCACACTGAGGCAAAACACGTCTTAAACAATTTATATGCTTATTGAAATCCACTTCCCGATAAGCTTTTACAGCCTTCCAGTATGTCCATTGTGCTTTTTTATACCAGCAGACCTTGATTTTAGATTTCTATACAAATGAACACCACAAAGTCCATGAAAAGCATCTGGGAAACACCTTCTAACAGCGTTGTCAATTGAGTTTGCCCTATCGGATATGATTGTCAGATTGCTAATAGGACCTATGCAATCCCTAAGATGCCCCATAAACCATGTCCATGAATCAGAGGTTTCAGATTTGCCAACCCCGTAAGCTATTGGCAATATCCCATTGTTAGCATCCATGGCTACTGCTAATAAGTTTACTCCAAGGTATCGACCTTTCAAATGTGCTCCGTCAACTATAATAACTGGGCGCATGCAAGTAATAAACGAACGAATCTACAAAATAATATACACAAGAAATATAATCATTTAAATGTGAAATGCATGTAACTAACAAAATGAGTCAACAAAATTATATTGATTTACTAACCGTAGCACCAATGGCGATAAACAGCAACTCAAAGCGTCCATCTCTATCTGTTTTGATATGAGTTACCGACCCAGGATTTTTCAGCTTTAAATTGTGACAATAAGCCGGCAGTTGGGCAAACGATGCTTCTGGCGACCCCCTCAACAATTCCAAGGCATAACATTTGGCTCTCCAAGCTTGAGAATATGATATACTAATCTTGAACCGAGCATTCATGTCAGTCATAATTTCATGTCCCCGATATACCCTGCCATTCAAAAACATTAACTCAGCCAGAAAACCACCCAACACCTTTTTGTTTGCCTGTCTATGGTGAGGAAAAACTTGGGTTCTTGAACATGTATGTTTATCAATAAAAGTCCTAACTTGAAACATTTTGCAATCTTTTATTCTCTTTGCAATCATACGCCACGTACAGTTTTTGTCAATCATACACCTTGTTTCGAAACGATCTTTGCTTGATTTGTTAACTTTTAGTTGATAGCCATCTTCCACACATTTCGTATATAAAGCTATCTTCAAGTCTTCCTTTGTATCAAAACAATCATCTTTCTTGATACGAATAACTTTTGTGTAACAATCAACTGCTTTCTTTATCAACTCTTCTTCCGGTATCTGAAGTAATTCTGGCATATTCCAGTTATACGCCCGTGGCATTTTCTTTTCTTCGGGGACTTTTTCTTCTTTTTTTCTTCTTCAGGATTATATGAATTACAGAATGGATGTTCAACATGTTCATTCACAGTCGTAACTTCCTCCTCATTATCAACATTACATTCTTCGGCAACGGCTGTTTCATCATCAAAATTCGGGTATTGACCAATATCAATATCATTACACGCATGGTCTGTTTCTTCTTCTGAAACATCATCAAAATCCGTGTATTGACCAATATCAAAGTCCGGATATTGACCAAGACCAAATTTCGAATACTGACTAGTACTCACAATTTTTTCTGTTGGCTCATCATCGTCTAACTGGTCAATACGAAAACCGGAATTTGGTGCTGAAAGTTGATTGGGATTTGGATTAGAGAAAGGTTGTGGGTTTTGAGAAAAACTTAGTTGATTACTACCCGCTACTGACCCAACAATACTACTTCTAGGTTCAACAACATACAATGTAACATCATCTTGTGAAACACTAATGTAAGCAATGAATCGTTCAACATCTTCATTGTCGGTTAACAAATAAACTTTACCATTTCTCTGATAAGATAGCCTAAATCCACTTAGGGGCTCTAAATTCAATTTATTTGAAACACGTAGCATTAGAGTTTCATAAGTTAACTTTTGTAAAGACAATTTTAGTTGAAGATTTATGGGTAAAGGCATATATTGTAAAACACCATTAACATTATCCCATGACCCTCCAAAACACAAATCTATCCAAACATGATCAACATTAGATGATTTCATGGTTGTAACTAAACAAACGAGATGCGAAACTAAGACCTGTTGCCGGATGGGGAAGGATGTCGTTGGATATAGGAACGGATGTCGCCGGAGAGAGTGATAGATGGAGATGGAATGAGTTGCGATTTAGGGATTTAGTTTATGATTTCAGTGTTATATACCCAAAATTTCAGTGTTGTGATTTCAGATTCTCGTTGCGATTTACGGATTATCGTTGCGATTTACAGATTCTCGTTGCGATTTACGGATTATCGTTGCGATTTACGGATACGCGTTGCGATTTACGGATTATCGTTGCGATTTACGGATACGCGTTGCGATTTACGGATACGCATTGCGATTTACGGATACGCGTTGCGATTTACGGATACACGTTGCGGTTTACGGATACGCGTTGCGATTTACGGATACGCGTTGCGATATACGGATACGCATTGCGATTTACCCATACGCGTTGCGATTTACGGATACACGTTGCGATTTACGGATACGCGTTGCGATTTATGTGTTCGCGTTGCGATTTTCATATTCGCGTTGCGATTATGGAAAATCGCAATGCGAATTTGTACTATCGCATCGCGATTTTCAAGAATCGCGTTGCGATTCTGGAAACTGATTTGCGATTCTGGGGATCGCGTTGCGATATTTATTTCGCGTTGCGATTTTGTTGGTCATTTTGGCAAATCCAAAAAAAATTGGTTAAAATCGTATATTATAACTTTTTTTTGGTCACTGAGGCGATTTTCTCAAAAAAAAATTATAGCTTTCTGGAGCACGGATTAGACCTTTCTTTTTCCCAGCAACCATAGTCAAACGCAGTTCAAAAGTCCCCAATAAAATGCCGTCTCCTTTAACTATGGTTTCATCTTCCATCGCACGTCTCATTGCTCCCAAAATTTTCTCTCCTTAATACTAAATCCAATTTAAATCTGAACTGATTTAGTCATTTTCGTATTTGTTGATATTCGATGTTAGTATCTCAGGTGCACGCGGAATCGCCGAACTATGTATCGGCTTCGCACGAGCTGGAGTCGTTTCAAAGGCAAGTTGCCGACAGATTTCAAGATTTAGCTTCTGTGCCTTCCGATGAATTGCTTTCACTTCATTCGGTTCGAAAGTTGCTCGACGCTTTCCTTTGTTGTCAAGAGGAATTTCGGGCCATCCTTTTTAAAAACAAAGCTCAACTGACCAAACCTCCCCTGGACCGTCTGATTGCAGATTTTTACGAGCGTAGTGTTAAGGCCCTTGATGTTTGTAATGCGGTTCGAGATGGAATAGAACATATCAGGCAATGGCAGAAGCTTCTAGAAATTGTGCTTTGCGCTTTGGGTGATGGTGATCTTAATAATAACGGTGGTGAAAGCTGCTTTCGGAGAAGTCTTGGAGAAGGGCAATTTCGTCGCGCGAAAAAGGCTTTGATAGATTTAGCCATTATGATGTTTGATGAGAAAGATTCCGGTCAAGCTTTGGCTTATCGGAATCGTTCCTTTGGGAGAAACAATCACGGTAGCAGTCACTCCAAGGATCATCCTCTTCGTTCTTTGGGTCATTTCAGGTCGTTGTCTTGGAGTGTCTCGAGGTATTGGTCTGCGGTTAGGCAGCTCCAGGCCATAGGGAATAACTTGACTGTGCCACGGGGGAATGAGGTTGTGGCTACCAATGGACTTGCAATCCCCGGTTACACAATGGGATGTGTTTTGTTGTTTGTAATGTGGGCGTTGGTGGCTGCAATTCCATGCCAGGATCGCGGTTTGCAAGTTCATTTTTATGTGCCCAGGCAGTTTCCATGGGCGGCCCCGATACTTTCGATGCACGACCAGATTATGGAAGAGTCGAGGAAGAGGGAGAGGAAAAGTTCTTGTGGACTGTTGAGGGAGATTTATCAAGTTGAGAAGTGCTCGCGGTTGTTGGGTGAACTTGTCGACTCTGTTCAGTTTCCGTTGAGCGAAGAGAAGGAAGCGGAGGTTAGGCAGAGAGTGAAGGAATTGAGGAACGTTTGCGAAGCAATGAAGGAAGGTTTAGAACCATTGGAAATGCAAGTTAGGGAGGTGTTTCATAGGATCGTTCGGAGCCGAACTGATGGTCTTGACTCTTTTGGAAGGGGACACAATCCTGAATAAAACACTGTTGTTGGGTCGGGTTTGGTTTAAATTGTAAGTGTCAAATGTGCAACTTCCCAATATGTTTTGATTTTGGCTTCGACGGAACTCCAGGATCATGGAGGAGATGAAGTTGGAGGAGGAATGGAGGAGTTCGAGGCATGCGCCACGAAAATCTGAAAAAGGAAAAAAGGGTAAGGAGGAAAACAAAAGGATGATTTTCTTATCTGTCAGCAATATCAGTAAATTTGTGTTGTTACGAGTAATCAATTAATTTCTCAGTGAATTTGCATCTTGGTTCTGTAGATGATTTTTTGTTAAAAAAATTGTCTATTTCTCAGTGCTATATACCTTCTGGGCGTCTTTGTTAATAGTCGGCGCTTAGATACAATAATAAGATGAACGCTTATGAATGAATGTTATTTTATTTTTATTTTGTTGCCAAGTTTTGGTCCAGAATTGTATCTACGGTATGAAATGCAAAATTTTGTATGATGGTTTCTTCATGAAAACACTATCTATTTGCTCTATCGAGCTTATACCTAGTGTTTGCAAGGCTTGAGTTTTCTTGATTTTATCATTATCTCTAGGCATTTTGAACATCTGATACTTCTTTAAAGCAGAAATGGTCATTTCTGGTTTGCTTTCTACCCCGCTGTCGAGTATGATTGTTGAGAAAATTGTGGTTGTGGCATTTCATCTTGGTTGAAGTCCTTGGGACGAACTTTTGCTGTGCATGCGTATTTGTGACCCTTGTATGGAGAGAGTTGCAGGACATCAACTGGGTCTGTGCAAGCAGAATTTTATTGTCCAGTGGTGAGTAATGCAGCGTGTCACGTTTGCTGTATCCAGTAGTGGAGCGGTGATGATTGATTTTAGTGTTGGATGTGTGTGGTTTAGAATCTGTAGTCTTATAGCAAGAGCTCCTGTAACTATTGTGGAAGGGACTCTCACTGTCCCATTTGTTGATAATGTGCTTGGTAGGTGGAACATGACATGTGCATCCTCGAGATGGAGCATGTTCAACCCCTTTTGCTACCCTACCAAACGCCACAACTCTGCTTCTTGCAACAACTTCAAAGGTTGTATAAACTCTCAACTTTGTACCATGTTCGGAAGGGATATCTCAGCCTGAGGTGCTTAATGTTAATTGGAGTCATGTTTGCACTCCTAAGCCGGAGAGAGGACTAGGGATTAAAGACCTTAAAGGGTGGAAGAAGAAAAAAGCTTGCATTATTATGCTTATTAGGAACAATCAGACCTTTAAGATATTATATTAAAATCTAAAAGACATAAAATTATAAATTATTAAATTATTAGTGAAAATATAAAAAAATAAAAAATTAAATTATACTTTAATTTGAAATTTCTTCCGACGCCTATTTGATCCATCTCATTGCATGAGTACATTCTCAAGTCTGATTTTATTTTGCAGGTGTCAGTGAAGCGAAATGCTGTTGGAGTCCTGAAATTGAGGGTGGAAGTCGCTGGCATTTTATCTCATAGTGGGAGTAATTTGGCAATTACTAAAATTTGGAAACAGGTGAGCAAAAATAGGATGGCACGCTTATTTTTATATAATTGCAATTTAATTATTTATATTTTATAAATCATTTGGTTAATTCAAATTGAAAAACACATAAACATATCAGGAAAACAGATGTTTTAATTTAATTTATTTCATTTTCGAGGTCAATTTTTGAAATATAAATCTGAATATTATTTAAGAAAATTAATATCTTATATGATTAGATTAAGAGTCAGTTTGACATGATTTTAAAAATAACTAACGATAGAAAAGAATTTTTAAAAGTGATGTTTATAAGTGCAGTTTAAAATTAAATTGTTTAAGATTGTTGTTAAAAAATAACTTTAAAAAGATAAAATGTTTATTATAGATATTATGTTGTAAATTAAAAATATAAAATATAAATTATATTTACACTTATTAATACTATGATATATAAAATATATCATTTAAATTATAATAAAAATATAAAAAATATTTTAAGATAACTCATTAAGATAACTCAATACTTTTTAACAAGTGAATATAAAATATTTTATTAATATTTTAATATATTAACCATAAATTTTATTTATTTTTAAATAATTGAAATAAATTATTAAGTAATAAATTATTTTTAAGGATATTAATATTAAATTGTTAAAATAAAATATAAATACATAATTGAGTGAAACCAATATATTAATAAAGATAAAATTATAATTTGGTCACGCAAAGTTAAAAATTAAAAAGCTGCAATGTTGAACTTGAAACCTAAAACAATAACAATAATTTTTTACTGTAGAGGTTGTTTAGTATTTGTATATATTTATAGTATTTGTGTTAATTTTATGTGATTTTAGAGGGAGAAGGTAAAAGTTGAAAAGGTAAGCAAATGATTCCAAAGTAGGGTTGTGGTCTGAACTGGAAGTCTGGAATAGCGATGGGCATAGCCCCTCTCACACAAGCACAAATATAAATCTAATCCTCCACTAAACCTACCTACTTTTACCCTCCAAAATCTAAATTCACTCAAATTTTTTTATAAATAGATTTACAACAAAAATTAACTACCACTATCTTTTTACAGCAGTACTAGAAATGCCATACAAAATACAGTCATGGGGGGTGCCGCCGCTGCTGGTGCCACAAGGAATCCCTTCGCCGCCTGCACCCACCAAACAAAAAGAGCTTTATAAATAAAATATCTCCCCCCTTTAAAAGAAAACGTAAAATTAATTAAAACCTTATATACTAACGTGTAAGTGCGGCAAAATCAACGAGATAATGCTCTCGAAGTTTTTATTTCACGAGATAATGCAGGGCTCAGATTAATTGCTCAAATGGGGTAAATTCTACAGTGATGGGCGTAGGTCGTCATGCCATCCGGGTGACCTACGATGTGGCAGCATCCAGACGAACCACCATAGGTCGTCATGCACGCCCGGCGTCTTTATAGGTCGCCATGCACGCCGGTCTTTGCTATGCATGGGCCATGCACGGGGCATGTGGGAGCGGGAGCTGTGCATGGACCAAGCTCTGGCATCGCGGCCAAGCTTTAACCCTATCCCTCCATGGCGACCTACACCCCACGTGCATGGCCCATGCACAGCTCCCGCTCCCACATGCCCCGTGCATGGCCCATGCATAGCAAAGACCAGCGTGCATGGCGACCTATAAGGACACCGGGCTTGCATGGCGACCTATAAGGACGCCTGGCGTGCATGGCGACCTATGGTGGTTCGTCTGGATGCTACCACGTCGTAGGTCGGCCGGATGGCATGACGACCTACGACCATCACTGTAGAATTTATCCCATTTGAGCAATTAATCTGAGCCCTGCATTATCTCGTGGAATAAAAACTTCGAGAGCATTATCTCGTTGATTTACCTGTGTAAGTGCCATGTTATATATTAATTTTGCGAATAAAATTTGCCTCTTCATTTGGTTTAACATTTCATAATTCGATAATAAGATATATAAATGTCTATATAAAAAGAGAATTTAAGTAAATACTGTACCTGTTCTCCATGATCAGATGTGGGCAAAGGTCGAATAGTTGCAGAATCGACTTCACCAGTCGGCATTGGAACTGCAGGGTTACTGTTGATAAAAGAGATGCCACCACCTTTATCCGGCACTGAACTTGGCATCGTTACCGGCGAGCTAGCACTTGGCGCTGGCGAGGCCTAAACGGCCATGGATATGCCGGAGAAGATGACACGACTGGTCCACCCGAAGTTGGTGCCGGAGCTGATTCTGGAGGGAATTCCGGTGAAGGGGTTGTGGCAGTTTTTCCGGGAGGCAGCGCCGGAGAAGCTTTAATGGAGAGCTTGTGAGAGGCTTGGCATGTTTTGAGAGAGCCATTGTTGAAAGCAAAGTAGAAGAAACCAGGGCGAGAAGGGTGCCACTGCAAATGGTGTAAACAGAAACGACACCACTTTGAACACAGTTATAGCCTGGATACCAGTTAGAAAATAGGAAGTTGCGTACCGCATACCAGTTTGAAAACTGACAACAAAAGTAACAGAATAATGTTAATAAAATCACAACCCAAAATACTCAACTTGTTCAAGTGTAATAAATACTCACTTATGGAGTCTCCCACATGAACAGTGGGATTTTCCCACAGTGAAACACCATCCACCAGAATTGTTGCAGACTAAGCGGCTAAGAAGAAGGGGAAGAGGAGACAAATGAGGAATATTAGCATGGAGAAGATGTTCATCAGCTCTTCCACTTTGCTCTTCTGTGGGGTACAACTTTGCTTTTAGACCGCAAATACCTTATTTTTACGAGCTCATACAAACAAATACGTGTATTAAAAATGCTGGGATTGACAGATGAGAAAAGAATGGGAGAATAAAACGCTCGTAAGAAAACGACAAGTGCAAAGCAACAGCCTCAATACAAATTGTGACTTCCGAAGCCAACAAAACTAAATTTATGTCATGTAAAAAAGACGGCGGCGGCTAAAAGACAAATGACAAAATGAACCCAAGACAACTACAATACAACATAATATTTATCAGAAGATATCATTAAAAACATATAAAGTAACTGGAATACCCTTTAAACTAATTGATTATGTGAAGATAATTTTGATGAGGAAACTATTAGCCAGCTTTTGACTTGATGTGCCAAGTTTTGGTTGCTCTTGACTTGATGCCGAAACTATTAGCTAGCTCTGTTCTAGAATTAGGATGGAGAATTGTTCTGTATGTTGATGTATTCGTCTTAAGGGATTTGAGACAGGTTTTTGTGGGTTAGAGGAAATGTTCTTATTCGGGTTTGCATGTTGTTCCCGAAGGATTAAATCAGGAAAATAATCCGGAACTGGGATTCTTTATTGCTGGAATCTATGGAAGAAGGATATGGTTTCGCATCTAGTTACAGGTAAGAGAGATTTCGAGCTGCAAAAGGCCACATACGGGTTGGATCAAGGCTAATACTGATGGAGCTAGCGGTGGGTGAAGCTGCAGCCAGTGTTGTTCGATATGATCAGAGCTATTAGTTCTCCAAAAAGAGAAGAACGTAACCGTAAAATTTTATATGAGGAGGTGAATATAAACTCATAAAATTTTGAGGAGGTCACAAGTATTTAATTTATATTTATTTTTTATTTTATATTGTTTTTAAAAGTTTAATGAAAAATATAATACTTAAAATTTAAAAGTCCATAATATATAATCTATACATAGAATTTAAAAAT